GGTTAGTTTAGTTTCTTACTCAGGGGTTAAAACACTTGAATGAGACACTAAACTAATTCCTCTTCGGGACTAACCAAGGTTGATTGCGTTTTACAAACTTGACCAACCCCCCCCCTAGGAGCTCCGAAAGGAGCGCCCTGCTCTAGTTCAAAGGAAAATTTAACCATTAACATCACAGTAAACACAGAGTTTGTGGTTATTCAGCAGGTCAAAAAATTCCTGCTTTTAAGGAACCTGAAGGTTCATCACATCTTTTATACAAGTCCATTACTAGATCTTATACTCAACCAGATAAAACCAATCTACATCTTTACACTGTATTTCTGCAAGATCTGTGTTGATATTAACCTCCCCTCTTCATGTAGGTCTCCTAAGTGATTTCATTATCTGATATTTTGTAACAAAAATTTTGTATGTATTTTTCTGTCCTCAATTTTCCAGCATCTCATTCTCTGATTTAAGCATCCTTACAGTATTAGGTGAAGGTACAAATTATGAAGCCCTAATTGTTAATCTTCTCCAGTCCTTTTGTATTTGCTCTCTTCCAAAGACAGATGTTTTAGATTAATGAATTTGCAATTACTGTCATCTATGCAATAAATTTTTGAACATATGCTGTCTTGTACTTACAGGCTTCTACTACTGGCATGCTTTTAATCCATATCCTGAATGACAATTTTAAATAGCATATCTTAAACTGTTTCCAGATAAGCTAGAAAAATGCCGTGCCATTAGAGAGGAACTCATGACACAATCAGGACCACTTAAGGAGAATTCACCACCCTTGTCTTCTACTGATAATAAAAATAAAATAACGACCTTGATTACCTCAGCTCGTAAAGAACAGCTTGACAAAGAGAACACATCACGATCAACAGGAAAGCAAGGTAAAAATGACTTAAATCAGGGGTTTGCAACCTTTCTTTGTCTGAGGGACAATTTAAAAAGCTTAGACCTCAGTATAGGTGGCAGGTCACATAATAAAAAATTAAATTTATATTTTACTGAATGCAGTTTTTGTTTTCTTTTAAATGAGCAGCAATTTCAGTTTTAATAAAATAAAAATATAATTAATATTTTTGCATTTTTAATTTTATGGATAGAAGAGCATCAATATCCTTGTATTTGTTAATGAGCTGATTATCTTACCTCTAACAGCATTAGCACTGAAAGCACTAGAAAACAACCAGGATAGTGATCTGAAGCATGAACGTATTGATACACAGTATCTGACTGGTGAAACATCCACATCTGATTTAACCAATAATAGGAAATCTACATCCACTTCTGCATCAAAAAATTGCAGTTCACCAGATATCAGAAGAAGCAAGAAAATGTAAGTCTGTAACAAAAATAAATTATGAACTTCTATGTAGTGCAAACACAAAGGGCAGCACAGACTTATTTCTTTTGTCTTCTGTCTTTTGCTATAGACAATAAAATGTTACTCCATTTGAAAGGGTGTATACTTAACAGCACATTATTGATGTGCAAGTCTCTTTTATGTAAGATTCTCATTATTACAGTACAAATGGGGAAGTAACATCTGATCATCCATTTGCATGTTTCACATTCAAAACTTCTCAAATAATTTTAATAAAACCTAGTAATTAGGATCATTAATTTTGGCATACATCCTCCTCCTCTAATACTTCGCATTAAGATCTATAACTTTCAATAAAACATTTTTGATCCATTTTATACACAATTAAATTCAGGAAACAAATTATTTGCCTTTCTGTGAGTATGTGAGTGTAATGTACCTATTTTTGTTTAGCTTTGCCAGCAACAGGGTTTATAACTCCATACAATGCAGTACCAGTACTGCTAATTAGTAATATCAATAATATGAATCTATGTGTAAGATATAACATCAGTACCAAAAAGGGAAGCAAATTTGGAAAATACGTATACTTCAGTTTCGAGTTTTGTGTACATGTATTGAACCATAATGAGAAACACATTTGAACCTAAAAGGGATGAAATGACAGGAAGCTAAGAGAGATAAAATGACAGGAGGTTGGAGGAAACTACATAATAAGGAGCCTTATAATTTTTGTAATTCAACAAATATTAAGATGCTCAAATCTAGGAGTGTGAAATTTGTGAGACATGTGGCACACAAGGGCAAAGTAAGAAATTATACAAAATTTTTATTAGAGCACCTGAACAAAAGTTAAAACTTCGAAAACTTACGCACAGATGGGAGGGTAGTATTAAAATGAATCTTACAAAAATATGATGGAGGATAGGGCAGTGGGAGGCTCTTGTAAACATGGAAATTAATCTCTTCCATAAATGACAAGACATTTCTTTATTATCTGAGATACTACTAGTTTCTCAAGAAGGACTTTATTCCATACAGTTAGTTTCAGTTAATACTGAAACATGAACATATACATATATACTATGCAAAAATTAGCCTCAACACAATGAGGAAAGTCATGAAAAACCTTGTGATAGCCAGTCTCCTAATTTTTATCCCATCTCTGGATATATTTATTACCTGACTGTAAATTCCTAATGTTTAAAATAATGGTCTTCTTATATGAAATTTAGGGTAACAATATGTAACTTCCAAATTCTCTGATGTATTGTACTCTGTGGGTTAGTAACAGAAAATTCTCTTCTTTGTTAGCATTGGAAAATGCAAGAATATTTCCACACCCCCACATTTGCAACTGCATCTTGGAAGTTCATCTTCAGAAATCTCATCCATTTCCTCCACATCAACATCAGTAAAACTGTTAATGAGAAATACTCGACTAATCAACAGTCACTTTGATAAATCATGTAGCAGAACTTCAACCAAATACCTGCAAAAGATCAGGTCTTTGCCTTCATCTGCCAGTTCACATGCAACCAACAGGCACAATACAAAACATCAAACTCTGACGAGAAAGCAGAATGGTCATGACTACCGAATCACAACTAACTCCGTCTCTAATCACACAAGCTGTGGTGTTAGCAGGAACATCAATGCCATTCCATTAAAGAGGAAACAAGTGTCTTTCAGGTTAGTTGGAGAAACATATGTAGGCCTTTTTATACTTTTGTAGTCTTTGTTTGATAACTGGGTAAAATTATTTATCCATTAACAACCAAATAACTAAATAATCACACCTTTTCAAGATTCGCAGAGAAAACCCTACTAGTCGATAAGTATCAATTAATTTTACTTAATCTTCTTTCTAATATAGAGGCTACGCAAATTTGCCAAGTTCTTTGTGAAATATGAATAACATAATAAAGTCTTCCGTACCCATAACAGACACTGAAGACAGTTATTATTCTGCATGGTTCTGGTATAAATAATTTACATGCAACAGAAAACCAGCTTCTAATCATCTGCTATAGTGACCCAGAATCTGCCTCAGTGTTTCAGTCGGTTCACTGACAGGGATAATTCTGAGATTGTTTAACAATGTTGTTTCTAACTGCAGAGGCTGTATAGCATCAAATGAAACACGAAGCTGATCGTGAATGAGAAGCAGAAAAGGATCTCAAAAGAGCATATCTTGGTCTTGGTACTGTCCGGGTACTTGCCTGGACAGAGATAACTGACAACACAGCCAAGATTTGAACTGCATTCCTCTCAAGCACAAGTTTTGAGCAATACTATTAAACCAACCTCCAACCACCATTCTGCATGACTGTATCATCTCTTACTCATTGCTATTGAACAAGTTAATTTTAAATACATTTATATCCTTTTCGGATTGACAACATTTAAGAACTGGGTATTTAAAAAAATATTTGGTCCTAAAGTGACAGCAGGCTGGAAAAAACTGTATAATGAGGAGCTCCATAATTTGTACTCTTCACCAAATATTATTAGGATTATTAGTTAAGAAAGATAAGATCATTACATCCTTCTGGAATTAGGTATTTGCATTTTTTTACACCAAATGTAATGGTTATACATTCATGTACGTATTCTTGAAATAGGCAGATATATTTCCTGTATACCAAACGTTACAGTTATATAGCCACGACTCATCTTCTGGAAATTGGTTAGTGATGTCCTTTAATTGGATATTATGGTTATATTGCCATGACTTAAATGTTCTGAAATTATGGGGTATCCAATTTGGATTTTTGGCAGCTTACTGGCTATCTTGACTAATATTTTTCATGGTTTTCCTCACTTTCTACTGGTAAATGATGGGAGAGTATCCTGAAATATGTCATGACCACCTCTTTCCAAACCCCTATCTAATCACCATTCATGAGTTTATTCCCACCTAATAATAGATGCTACTAGCTTCTGCAGTTAAAATGTGATAAAACAACCAAAAAACTAATCTACTTTGTTACTGTGGTTTCAAATATGTACATCCTCTACCTATAGCTATATCAGCACAGACAACTTACATCTGTCTGAACACGATCGTCGCATCCTTGAGTCAATGGCCCTCAAGAAAAAAATTGAGAGAGAAAGTGATGAGTTTGCCTACCAGGCTCATCAGCTCTGGGAACAGGACAGGGAGGAAAGAGAACAGGTATATAATTACTTTAATATCAAACATTTACATCTTGCTTACAGGAAAACTTTGTCCAGCGCAGAAATAAATTGTTAATAGAATCCACTGAAGATATTCTAAACAAATTTAACTTGCAAATACACCTAAAACATTGTCAATGACTGTTTTTAAATACTTAGCCTGTACATTATTTATTGTTGTTGTTAATATGCTGTTTTTGTTGTTATTGTTATTATTATATGTACTCTGTATCAAATTGTTTTATGTACATTTTTGTCATGTTCACCACCTTCTTCCTACAATAAACATGACAAAGTAAGATCTAAATATGCAAATTTGTTTATGTTAGTATGTCCCTCCCACACAAAAAATTATACAGAATTCTCCAATGACAATATGATACAGCAAAGCAGTATGGAGATGGCACAGTGGAGGGAGATAGTGGCAGAAAGGCGAAGAATGCAGAACACTGAAAACTCGCGTAAAATGGAGGAGATGAAGCAGAGTCTCCGGCAATCACAACAGCAACTAGAGCACAGAATTCGTCAAAAAGAAGAACGTGCCGCAAACTTACGCTATGCTGTAGAGGAGCGAAAGGTTTGAGAAAATTCACTCTTTCTCATGCGCTGTAAGCACCTAATTGTAAAAAATTCCAGCCAATTTCCTGCCACATCTTGTTGCAATTGCTCACTCTAAGGTTGAGAAGTTATTCTGTCTCTTGCATTCTGTCTACATTAGTCTTATATTTAACTGATAATGTTAATTCATCAACTATCTTATAACTTACAGATTGCTTTTTATTTCTTAATTTTGTAATGTCTCTTAAGGTCATTTCCAGTAGTGACCTCTGTAATCTTATGCATGCAGTTCAATAAAGTGAAAGCAAAATATATTTAAGGTTGTTGTGGCACACTTCCTGGATAAAAGTATACATAGTGTTAATAATGAAAAGTTTAAAACTGGATTAGACTCTGTAAGATTTGAGGTTTTCACAGCGGTGAGTCGACCAGACAACACAGCGCAACAATCCAGAAGACAGAAATCTGGATTAGACTCCACAACTGCTATTCTGTATGTAAGACATATTCCATTATTTGTTGTAGATGAGTAAAGTCGAGGAACGCAGTCAGTCTGCTGCGAAGCGTCAGGCCGAAGCGGAAGCAGCATGCCAACAAAGAGAGCTGGAAGCAGCACTGTGGCAGCAAACATTAGATGAACAGCAGAAGCTGCGGCTTGAGAGAGCAGAAATGACAAGGATGCAAAACCAAGAAACTTATCGGAGGGTTTGTTTTTCATAATGGACATTCTTATTGTAATACTAACACAAATTAGAGATATTATGCCTGCAAAGTGGAACTTTTGAGAAAGTAGGTGGACCTATCTGTGGTCCTGTAGCATTGTATTGCCATGGTAAAACTTGCGCAGTATAAATTGATAGAAACCATGAAAAACCTCAGTCACGGTATCCAGTAACCTGATCGCAATTTCAACCAGGCATCTCTTCAAGTCTGTAGCATGACAGCTGTCTCAGGTATAAAGTGTTTTTATGCACACCATTTACAGAGAGTTGCCAGCGCCAATCGAGTAGAAGAACTCCGTCATCAAGAACGTTGGCAGCAGATGCAAGAAGAAACCAAGGTGGCACTACAAGAACTGCGCAGACTCTGTCAACAACGAGAAGAACGCGCACAAGAAAAGTTTAAACAGATCCAGAAGGACCGTAGTAGGCAACTTAAGGGACAGAGGTACGAGTCTGGTAAATCATCTGCATCAACTGCAAGTTTTCCTTCTGAGATTTGTCCCCATAACTATACTAGGAACTGTGGCAATGACGGTGTGAAGACATGATCCTTCATGAAACCCGACAAAAAATATCAAGTATAACAAGTCTGGGGACGTTGGCGACAAAGGCATTTGCTCCCATGTCCTATACAACTTTTGAGCAGTTGCAACACCATAACAGCCAGGGACCGAACTGTCAAAAGTGATGACAAATTTGAAGTGTCTACATGTCATTTCATTTTATCATTGTAAGTGCTTTAATTCATTAAATATAGCAAATCACTTTTAATCATTCCATGACACCCCATATTAAAATGGATCTTAGGTAGATGTGAGGGCTTGAATATGACTGAACTGTCGCAGGATGAAGTTCAAAGACAGGATTCTGTGAACAGAAACTTCCAGTTCTGTAAAACAAGCAGGACATTTCTTGGCCAATTTAGTAACTACCCTCTGCTACAGACGTCCCTCTATAATTAATTAATTATGAATGAAGATGTCAGTTTTGAAATAAACCTCTCTTTCAGCTTAGAACGATCAGTCAGATTTCAACAAGTTCATCAACTGCATGATGATCTTGATGTGGGACTGAACAAGTGGCAGGGTCAGGTACTGTCCTTGCAGTGGAAGGCAACACAGGAAGCAGAAGTTAAAGCGACACGTCACTTGGAGAGCAAGCGACAGAAGGTAGAGAATGAGAACAGGGCACGATGGCAACACCACACACATCTCATGGACAGGTCAGTCAACCACCTCATAAAATTGCCTGCAATCAGATTTTAATCTGGAACCTTTAAATAAGAATGAAAATGACTAACAAGTCGATAAAATTTTTAAAAAAAATACCTGCTTCCCTTACACTTCCAGCCTCGCCAATGCAGCACAAAGAGCTTTCTCAGTGATAATGTGGATAACACTGTTGATTACAATTTTCTCATCAATAGAATGTTACTGGATAGTGTAAGCTTTATAAACAATTACATATTCTATTCCATTTACTCTTGGTGTGAGATCCACACTGAAATAACAAGTATTTGTGCAAACACAACATATACTTAAACAAAAAAACATGTGATGCCTCAAACTTGAATATAGTCTTGGCTCAAATGCTAACATCTGGTCTTTCACCGGAAATAGATGTCCAAGTGTATCACAACATTCTCCTTAACGTAAAGTAATTAACGCTGATTCACTGGTTTTTTTAAATTAGGCAGACATATTGGTGTCTTTCCTTTTCAAAACCTGGCACAAATAACAGAAATTAATGGAAGGCAGAGGAAAGCAATATACAGAAAAACATAAGATTACAAATTAGTGGAATTATTACATACATAATTTTTTGTTGTACATAGTAGACAACAAGAACTGTGAATTATGTAGTTAGACAGTCAGCAATCATGTAGCAGCTCTCTGCAGACTAATAACATCAATCTTACAGGCTAAGCCGTGATGATGAAGCTCGAGTGTGCTATATTCGAGAGCTCATAACTCGGAAGGAGACAAAGATGCAGAGAATGGCCAAAGAGCGTGATATGGCCATAAGAGAGTCTCGCCTGCAAGCACAGACAACAGCTGATCTCCGAGAGCATATCAGGTACATCATTACAGACACAGATCATGACACTTTCTTAAGAATGTACCCCAGTTTCTTCTTCTTCTTCTCTTATGTACACAACCTTAATATGTTTGTACTCTCAGTTTATTCTTTACTGCAATTTTTGTCATCCATTCTTTGTATGTGTTGATTTTGTTTGTATTCCTGTATATTTTTACTGAAAGAAAATGTCTGTATTTACTTCTTATTTCTTCATTTGAATTCGATCCAACATTGTAAAGCCTTTTACTATTCATAAAAACTTCCCCTTGGCAGCCTGTATCATGATCTAAGTTTGAGGAGTGATCACAACTTTGCAGAATTTTAAATTTGTACAGTGTTTTTATTCTAATGTTATATTTATTTTAATGTTCTATTAATGATTCAACACATGAACTGGAACTTGAAGATTATTGTCTTCTGGAATATTACACCATGCAGTCTGGTAGAAGTTATCTTATTCATAACTATGGTCAGATTTTCTTGTTTCTGTACTCTAACAATTTTGTTCATTTTAGGAGAACATTATCACCAGAGACGTTTGACCGTAAGGTCGCACGTGTCGCTCTGGAGATGAGAATTGCTGGTCGTCCGCCCACCGCAAGTCCTCCAATGACCAGATCTCACATCTTCCTTGGCTGACTGTCGTTTGACGATCTTGCATTTGGCCTTATAGCTATTAGATGTTACTATGAACTTCTGATTGGTTAAGAAGCAGAAAATAGTTGTCTAGTTGCATATGGAAAATACAGAACAGTTTAATGGTACTCCTACTAATATGCTTTTATGGTGGTTTGAGACTTTTGCATTTATTCTCTGGGTGGTCGCATCATGCTGTGGCAGCCTTTCTTACCAAATTAAGAATTCAAGCATTCTAGTTAACATTCTATTAAAAATTTTACCACAGTGAGAAAGATTACAATTCTGCAACTTACAACTTTTTAAATTTCTTTTAGAGACCAACTAGTACATACTAAATATTATTTCTATAATTGTACAAGTCTGTGAGGCAGAAAATGTTGAGACCTGCTGTTCTAGACCAGTGATTATGAAACTTTTTGGCACACAGACCATCACAGTAGGGTACAAAGATCCTGCAAACTACCCACCCTACCTACTTGTGTTTCAAACTTGCAAATGACGAATGACTGAATGCTTCACAAGACATTAATTAGCTATCAATTTCTGCATTCAATGTAGAGAACATAATAAACTTATATATCTTATACTTTATATACTAAAATATAGTCTAGCATTTAAATTGCCAGGTCTGCTTGCATTGAGAAACACTGTAATAATAGTTTATCATATTAAAGACAGAATGGTAAGGACAACTGTTACATATTGATAACAAAAGAATTCCTCTAAAAGATTGAGAAATAAAGATGTCACTGGGGTTACAAAGGGCTGGGTACAGAGAAAAATGAGTATGACAGTAAGGAAAAAATGGACCCAGACACAAGAGGAAAACTTACAGAGGAGAGACGAACTGTCAAGCCTTTATCATAGGTTAAGTTATTCTTGTTTTACAGCCTTCTTGACAATCTGTGAACCATGATACCATTTCTGTAGATCACAAATATGGAATATACCACACTAAAACTTCTTGGCTACAAATTCTCTGATATGAAAGCGTACAGGTTCGTCACTGTGTTCACTACAGCCTGGAGCTGGATTCTATCCTGAGCCAGTTTTGGAGTATGTGAGAAATTTGGTGATGTCGTCATGTCTTTATCTAATTGATTCCTATTTACTTCAGGCTTGAAAATATTTGATTTCCTATACCTTGTACCAGATTACTGAATAAGAACAAATAGTTTTGTAGTGGAGCAGCTACCGTTATCATCTGAAGAAGCATTTTAATTTTTACAAAAGAATTGTTCTAACATGTCCATACAGTTCATCAGAAAGACCACTTCACTATACAGTGGAATCTTCATTTAATGTTTGCTCATGTCCTTCCTCATTTTAAGTTTAAAATTTTTATGGTCCTAACCACATTACCTCCATGTCAGACTTTACTTAAGATTCTCGTTAGTGTAGCGTTCGGTACAGGTCTGAACGATTTACACAATGGGAAGCTTCATAATTTGTATTCTGTCTAATACGATGAAGATGAGATGGGTAAGACGTGGATCACAAAGTACAAAAATGAAAAATGCATAATTTTGGTTGGAACACCTCAAGGGAAGCAATCTATTTGAGAGACATAAGTGTAGATGACAGAATAACATCAGATGGATATTAACCCTTTAAAGCCAAATGATAACTACACATACAAGTAGCTTTAATACTAGTGACAATGCATTTTGTATTAATGGGTTTTCTTTTATTCTCAGTGCTAAAAACATTAACCAATTGATCTATGTAATGGCTATGGGTAGTATAAATGACTTAGTTTTTAAATATTATTTAGATGAGCTTTGGCTTTAAAGGGTTAGGAGAGAGGCTGTGAAGATAGGTTTTCATGTCTTCGGTTCCTTAACAGCTGGGAATTTCTTGACCAGATGAGTAACTACCAATTTTGAAAGAAAGGCGCTGCACAGTGGATTAATTGTTCAAATACATTTCTCTCCAAGAAACATTAAATGGGGATTGTACTTTAATAGTAACTACCTATTATAATTTCTAAAATAAAAGCTAAATATATACATAATATAAATAAATTACACTATGAAATGGTTAACATATTCACTGCCAATAGCAGTAATTGCCATTCACATGAGTACGCCTTCTCTGTGCTTATGACAGCTCTCAATGTCTGAGCTCAGTCATCAAAGTAATACAACTTTTCTTCAACAGATATAATTCAATTTCCGCAAAGCCTTCTCATACCAAAATAGAAACTTTGAGGAATATGAAAATGTACTGATTTTCAACTTACATCTGAAATATCTTATTTATACAAAAAAAATACTAACGCTTTGTTTTAGCAAAACTGCTTAGCTCACAAGATTAGAATATTCAGACCATTGAAATTCATGGTTGAGTAATTATGACTCCTGCTTAGTATCTGGAAGTCCCTTACGCAATATTTATTAACACGTATACTCAGCAGATGACTTGTAATAAACTAACAATGGATAAAAGTTTAAGAAACATGAAAGGAAACATTTCAGACATAACAATATTGCAACCTTTTTCTTTTTGTAAAATAACGCTACTAGCAGAGGCCGGATGGCAACTTGCTTATGTATGAATATTCAGAAGTGTGGATGAATATGGCAAGAGCAGTCTGACAAATTTCCAGCTGGATCTGAATGTACTAAACTGACATTTTTATACCTGGCAGAAAAGTGTTAACTCATGCACTGCTAGCACTTGTTTTCTTGTTCACGTCTCCTTCACTTTCTTGTTCTTGTGGCATATCATCTATTTTCAACTGCTGCTCCCACATAGCTGCATACACATTGCCCAATGCTATTAAATCTTCGTGTCTGTAAAATAATGACTACGTTACATTTGCAATGTCTCAAAAAACTATGCACACTTTAATAAATTAACAAACATGGAAAGTGGTACTCCAGAATGAACTATACATATTTTAAAAAATTAATTATTTGCAATTTTTAGTATCTCTTTAGCACTGATGTTCATTAACTACAGATAAAATCTATAAAACAGACATAAACATACTGTTGTAAAACTACGAATATCACACATGTTCAGAAATTATTTTTAATTTTCCTTACCCGCTCATCTTTACTCCGAGAATAGCTCAGTACCAGGTACCAGGTATATTACACAGACACCATATAAATTGAGATACAAATTATAATCATAATGAATTATATATTTTATGCTCCATATCCATTTTTGTATGATCTCTTTTGAGAATAAATTATAATGTTCAAATTGAGAATCATGTACATTGGGTTTATATTGGACAAATATGAACTGGGATTTAATTTACCTGTTACTTCGTCAAATTTAATTTAAGTCTGTTGAGCAGTTTTTGGATATGAAATGTGGACAGCTAGAGATATAATCATCCCATTATGCAATTATTTTATGTATTGTGTGCAAAGGATGCACATAAAACAAAGCCCTGCCTGTACCCTGACAATGTAGGCAGTATGCACCCCTGTAACCTCGGTCAACTTCTACAAGACTAAGCAGCACAACACCTCAGAAGACGGTCATCTTCATACTCAGGAATAACGCCAACATTAACTTTATCTTTAATTTTAATAAATAAACTGTGTACTGGTACCATAAAGCAGGTTTGAATGATTATGGAAGAAACGCCTCACCTGCCTCGCTCCACAATCTCACCCTCCTTCAGTACAAGGATCTCATCAGCATGAATTATGGTCGACAGTCGATGTGCCACCACAATGGTGGTCCTGTTGGCACACACTCTGTTCAGAGCAGCTTGGATGTTCCTCTCTGTCTGTGTGTCCAATGCACTTGTAGCTTCATCAAGCAACACAATACTAGGAGATTTAAGCAGTGTGCGAGCAATAGCCACACGCTGCTTCTCGCCCCCACTCAGCTTCAATCCTCGTTCTCCCACCTAATTAACAATGACAGTAATTGCACGGTACAAGATCTTTCTTCAAAACTTCAAAACTGACAGTTGCTCAACTGGCCAAGATTTGTTTTTCCAGTACGTCTGTTGCCTTGTTTACAATAGCCTACCATTAGGCCCTAGCCTGAGTCAACTGAATCTAGTTCATATCCTCAAATCCAATGTCTCCAAGATACATTTTAATATAATCTCCACATTTATGTAAATTCCCCTAAGATGTTCTTTTCTTAGAAATTTCCAACTAAAATTTGTGTATGCATTTTTTATGTCCCCATATGTGCTACATGCTCCACCTATTTCAATTTGCACAATTTGATCATACTAACAACATTAGGTAAAGAGTAAAAATATTACAAAGTTACCTAGTAAGTAAGTTTTGCCACTGTTCTGTTATATTCTCTTTCTTAGATCAAAATATTCTCCTTAGCATGACAGAAAAAAAAATTATAATCACAAAACTGGCATCAGTAATTCAAATTAAACAGTACCATTCTGGAATATCTACATTCTTAACTGTACATGCATTCCCTCCTCGAGTACAGGTGACTCATTAAATATGGGGTTATATCCCTACTTGTAATAAAGATGCATAAAAATAGTTAACATATAACAACCAACATTTTGATGTTAAAATTTGGCTATGGATAGGATACTGATGCTCGTCATAATATTTAAATAAAACAGCAGACATGCGAAAGCGCAGCAAAAGCACGTTTTACAAGAATCACATACATATATGGTACAATGAAACATACTTTGGTTTCATAAGCATCGGGGAAGGTTAGGATCCTGTCGTGAATATCGGCATGTTTTGCGGCAGCTACGATGTCTTCGTCTGATGCAGATATCCTGCCATATTGGATGTTGTACCTGGAACATTAATGCCATCTATGTGGAATAATCATAACTCTTACATGATCTGTCCATATGTTTATAACAAGAGCAGTTGATGTTTATTCAGCTGATCAATAAATTGCTTGCTGACATGTAACCCAGCTTTTATATTCTCTTCTCTGTTTATTAATTGTTGTTAAGCTCAGTTTACTGGATGCAACAGAATATGTCTCCCAGTTTTGACCTAAGTTGAAGAAAGATTTCTTCCTTTGAAACACAGTGACTTTTTAAGATTTTAAAATTTTTAAGACTTTTCAGAACCAGACAAAGGATGAAGTCCAAAAGAAAGAAAATGGTAATATAATACCATCACCAGTGACTTTCTTGACAGCTGTATAACCACCAATGACTGTAGCAAATAGAAAGTTATTCTACAAGCTGGTTAATTTAAGAAAATTCATTACATCACATACTAACTTGATAGAGTTATTGAAAAGTACAGTGTCCTGTGGCACCACACCAATTGCTTGTCGCAATGATGCCTGTAGCACAGTCTTAATATTCTGGCCATCAATAACAATACTTCCTGAGTCTACGTCATAAAATCGAAATAGGAGTCGAATGACTGTACTTTTACCACTTCCTGATGGACCCACCTAAAATGGAACATACAACAATTCAATCAAAGTAATCAATTGGTTTTCGTTAAATGTTTTGTAACACACAACATTCTCATAATGAAAGATAAATTTTTACAAAAAATATGTATGAAGGGAATTAGGATCCTAAGGAACCTAAATTAGCTCTGAAATGTCTTCAATGGCAGGCTTACGTATTTAGAATACTGTATTTTTGAATTCTGTTACCAGGAAGTTGAAGTAATTTACTGCCCTACGTGCACTAATGGAGTAATTTATAATTGTATTAAACTTCATAATAAATACTAAATTTTCAAGTTATTTTATGTGTGTGTATATGTTAGCAGTACTGATCTAAATTTTGTCACTCTCAAAACATTTCATCATATATTTTGTCATAATTAAGTAACTTCTCTCGTCTACATCAAATTGCACGGTACAAAGTCTTCCTTGAGCAGCTAATTAATCAGCCCATCAGCCATTAATGAATCCTATTCTCAGCTAGCAAAACCGAGTTCACAGCTCTAAAATCTATTTCTCCAAGATCCTGTCATTCATGTTCAAATGGTCTCCCTCCTTTAGGTATTTCAAACCAAAATTGTTATTCATTTCTAGTTTCCAGCTACATAATCACGCCAAGCCCATTTTATATCTTTTGATTTAACCACCTCAATAATACTATGTCAAAAGTGCAAGTGTAAGCTCCTAAGCAATTTTCTTAATTCTTATACTTCATCCCTCTTAAGTCCAAATATGCTTCTAAAGAGTTTGTTCTCAGACATTCTCGATCTCCGTTCTTTTCTGATAAGATTAAAGTAAGGGACCAAATTTCATATCCAAGTAAAAGAACAGGTGAAATTATTGTCTTTAATTTTCTATAGAGGTGATGGGAAAATAAAATATTCTACACTGACTGACAGTAAAATCTTCAGACTTGATTCTGCTCTCAATTTGATTATAAATATGATCTCAGTTCGGCCCTGTCAATCCAAAATATCCTGTATTAAACATGTTATGTGGCAGTGCATTAAATAAAGTCACATTTCCTGCTACTACCAAACCTCCACTGTACAAATTAATAAGAGAGGTTGACTCACAAACGCCACCGTCTTGCCTGCCGGTACAGTGAAGCTGATATTTTTCAGAACAATTCTATCAGGTATGTATCCAAAGCTGACGTTATGAAACTCAACAGTGCCTCGCTTCACAGACAGAGGCCCAGCTCCAGGTGCATCTATGACTTCCTGCTCTTCACGCATCAGGTCAAACATGTTTTCCATATCAACAAAATTCTTCTGGATTGCTCTGAAATGTTACAGGCAAAGTTACCAACAGATTAGTATCTAACAAATTTCCATAAAAATAACTGATTATTTGATTTATTTAATGATGCTGGTACTTCTGAAGATGTCATGCAGCATGAGATAAGGTAAGCAGGTATGGATTTAGAAGGATTGTGCTTATTTGAAACCTTGCAGGCAACTCCCTTCTTGAAGATTTCTGTCTTCTGGGTTGTTGTGCTGTGTAGTCTGGTCGATGTTAACCAACGTTTCAGAGGTCATACTGCCTCCATCATCAGGGCGATAACGGAAACAGTATGACCTCTGAAACGTTGGTTAACATCGACCAGACTACACAGCGCAACAACCCAGAAGACAGAAATCTTCATACTCGCCGCTGTGAAAACCTCAAATCATACAACTCCCTTCTTGTATGACTGTTATCACAATTTCAGAAATGTGATCAAGAAACAATGATCATAAGGTTTGGCTCTGTACAGATTTAACAGTTTGAGGCTACCATGATCCTTAATTTCTTCTAGATCTTTTCTGTCCAATGGTCTTATGAGCAGATGAGAGAGACTCAGGAAAACAGAAGAAGGCAATGGCAAACCACTTCTGTATCACCTGCCTAAAAAACATATATGAACTGGTCCCAGTCCGAGAAAAGAATGGAAGGATCCTGCTCATAATATGTTGCCAACCTCCTGTAGAGGAGACGGCGTAATAAAGAAGAAGTTACTTCAATATTCATTCAATTCAACATTACTACGTCTTACCTATAGAATGTGCCAAACCAGTTGAGTGGAACGTACAACTGAATAATGTACGAAGCAAACAGGACGTAATCGCCAATTGTGAGACCCTGGTTTGTCACAACCATGTGCACACACAGCAAGGACCCTGTGAGAAGTCCTCCGCACACTATCACATTCTGCACTGTGTTCAGGATGTTCTGTGTCACAGTCGACTTCCATTCTTCCGTCTAACAAGAACAATATTTGATGTAAACAAAATGTAGAGATGTAATAACATTGTTAAGTCAGATATGTTACTAATGTAATACTGAAAAAGGGTTTGGCGTAAAACGCATATAACTTGAAGCGTCCTTTACGCTGTTTCAGACTGTTACAAAAAGAAACTATTAATGGCTATTTATAACATCTATAAAAGTAATTTTATCCCAACATTGAGGAAAAAAACATTTCTTAAAAACCATCAGTTTTGCCACGTCTGTCCACCCGTTCCCAAACTACTTGATGATTGGTATAATAGACTTGCACTAAATTTTGTCAAAAGCCATTTTGATTTTGGTATAGTTTGGAAAATTCTAAGGGCCACTTCACTGAAATATGAACCATCGTAAGCTTTGCCTAATTTCCTACTAGTGCCCTGGTACGTAGCTCATATTAGCACAACTTAAACACATTACATATACGACAGTGGACAAATACGCATAACCAAAACACTTTCTTCGCTGCTACCCCAAGGGTGTATTTTACCCATTCTTCTTGTCACCTAGTTCCTAAAATTTTATATAAAAAGAGATCTACTTCCATTTTCAACTTAACCACTCAATTACTAATCTTACACACAAAGAAGTTTTCCTCCATGTTTGTTAATCACCAAGTTATAGCTGATTGATGAGCACTCCTGATTTGCATTCAACAGGTCCTGGGTTTGAATCACAGCCTGAGAGCTTTTATCCTGAATATTTCTCATATTTTATCCTAACAAATGCACGAAAGTAGGAATAAAAAGAAGAAAGAGAGGAAAAAATATATTTTAAATAGTTTAAATGTAATATACTTACAGACGACTTATAATTTATCTCAAAATAATATCTTATCTGTGCTGTTAATTAGCTTTGTTACATTAAGGGTTGATCAGGATCCCAAAGAAAAATTATTGCATTTTAAAATGGTAAGACAAATTTCCAGCATAGGTGTGTTCACATATATCACCTGATAGTTAAGGATGGCTTCACGATAGCTCTCCACCTCGTAATTTTCAGCACCATAGTACTTGACAGTTTCAAAGTTAAGCAGTGAGTCTACAGAACGAGCCGTTTGGGCATTGTCTGCTAGGTTCATGCGGCGCTGGAACTTGGTTCGCCATTCAGTTACCAAGATTGTAGCCACTACAAGAGAAAAAATTACATTAACTAAATTGTGTGATCCCCACTTAATGGTACCTGCACCTTGTCGTGGTGGTGGGACTTGAGTACCTCAGTGACCCCAAGAGCTATGCTGGCGGTAGCATAGCTACTGGTAGGGACTCCCTAGCCAGATTGGTCGAGGGGGAGAGGTCAGACTAAGACAGGTACCCTGGTCCTCCAGGTTGGGGGTTGGTCGCAAGGCTAACAACCTTGCACCGTAAAATGGAAGATGTTTCAAAACCTCGATCAAACCTAACAGAGGACCGAATGGAAGAGGAGAAATGAGGAGGCCATGGACCGAATACGGACCGGAGAGCCATAGAAGAAGAAAAAATTGTGTGATAAAGCTTATAATTAACCATCACTGTCAAGACCTGCTAGTCTAAGGGTACAATGCTGAACTTCTGCACCAAAGATTTCAAGTTTGAGACAGGTCACATCTAGAGTAGATTTTTCATTATGTCTTTCGTTGTCTCTGTGAATTTGAAGAATATGAGGCCCCACTGTGGTTTGGAGCTCATGTTAAGCTGTACAATCATTGTCAGCTATCATTATTCTAGAAGCATTTACCTCACAAGTGCCCCTACACCACCTCAGAAATGTACAATTTCAGTGAGGCAGAAAGAATTCAAAAAGATTAAATAAACTGGCAACGTAAGCAACACAAAATTTTCTTCAGTTAATGTAAAAATCCAATGTTCTCTACGGAAACCTTAAAAGCAAGTTCTCTGTGCTTAAAATATTAGATTTAAAGTTCATGATATACATTAATTAAAATTAATATTGTTTCCTTACCTATGTAGAGACTCATGGTGACGAACACGATGAGTCCAAACCACCCGTTAAACGCAGATATGAAGTACCCCACTGCTACCAAAATGTCAGTTATGGTAGGCAAAATGGAGAAGAGGATGTAATTTAGGAGGTTGTTGATACTATCCGTGCCACGGTCCATTACACGCAGCACTTCTCCCGTCTTGCGGCTTAAATGCCACCGCAGACTCAGTCCATGAAGATGCTTGAATAGTTCAACCTGTGCCAACAGAATGAAATCACACAGTAAGCATTAAAATTCACGACAGCAGCTGATTCACCGCACTTCAGTTATGTTGTATGCTGTCCATTGTCATTACCCAAAAATATAAAAATACCAGCATACCACCATCTTTGACAGAGACAATTAAGAATGTATTGTTTTTACCTCAACTTCACGAGTGGTATACTGTTGTATTCTGATCCAGAGGAATGATCGGATGTTGTTCAGGAGACCCATACCTCCTGTTCCACCGCCCTGGAGGAACTTGAAACCTACGTAAATAAGCACCCAGTCCCAACGAAACCTGGGATTCTCAGCTGCCATGCTATCCACTGCAATACAAAGTTTGAATTTCATCCAAGAATAAAGCTTTTTTCATTATGCCGCATATTAAATTATCTGTAAACCGACATATTTTCCAAACGCAATCTTTATGATTTTTCAAATAGCGCTTACACTAAACAGAACATTTTCTTTCAGAATGGGAATGATTTCTGAAACACTGTAAACTAGGTCAAAGGGTCTCCTGGGAGAATAGACGCAAAGTCGCAAGCGGGAAAACTCTAATTAAAAAACATAAATTCACGTGCAGCTCATAACTTTTTGACTTTTCAAGAGGTTTATGGAGTAATGAATTTTTAAAGTAACAAAGTGACTTTAACTCACCGATCAGCTTGCTGTAAATCGGTACATATAAATTGATCACTCGTCCAACTGCCAGAAGCAGGAAGCAAAACAAAACACGAAACTGTAAGGGGAGGTCTTTCTTAGGCCACAAGAAAGGCGCAAGAACCAGAATCTTCTTCCATGCATTTCGGAATGTAGATCCTTGATTCGTCACATCATTCTCCTGTTGACAGATACGAAACTAAGTCTTTCACGTGCTTCATAAATAAGCAATTTATCAGATTCGTGGTCTTGCAGGTTATGACACTCTCTTGCAGATAGTTACTAATATTTTGGAGTAACATGAAGCCTCCATCTTCATTCCCACCATAAAAATGGAGATGATGTCGTTGACCAGCTATAAGACTAAATAATGTCTTGCCACAGAAGACAACATTCTACAATTTCACTGCGGTGCAAAGCTCATAACTTGTAAAGCAATTTCATTACTTCAGTACAGTTTATTTACAAAAACCACATACAAGAAATGGACTCACTCAGTACAACTTTAAAATGTATAAAAAGTTGACTGAATACATGGCATAACGCTTTGTATCAGACTGTATTAATAACTTCGCTAAAACTAAAAACCAACAAAATGATATTTCAAAACCAAAATAAAAATATTTCTTTTATTAATATACATAGTAATACCTTCATATCCAAAATGAGTTTTGAAGATAAATAAGCTGACGGCAAACTATAAATGTGGTCGGTCATACACAGACACTAACGACCAAGTAAGAAGCATTTTAGTATCTGCAAGTGGACTTACGTCTATTTGAATGTTGAGTTCTGTGGAAGAGTTGCTTAGGTTAAAATAGTCTCTGTTCGTCATTATGCCCGGGGCCCGCAATCCAAGAACGAAGAGGACGACGCACGACACAAAGCGTGTCACAAACACTCCCATCTCAATCTCATCTGTGAGTCTTGTAAAATAAAACAAAATGAAAATCACTTCATATACTTGGAACGCACTGCATAGAACAAAATATTTGCTAATTACTTAGCGTATGAATGAAACTTACGTTGTGAGGTGAAACCACCAGTCGTCTCTGTTCAGATTGATGAAAGACAAGCTCTCGGATGCAAGCACTAATGTCCAGAAAAATAAGAGAACCAAACCGTGGCCTCGCGTCGGAACTGACGGCAGAAGATAGTTGCGTTCCAAAATAATTAGAATGGCTGAGAACGGGAACATGGCTATAGTCAGCAAGAGAGACAGAATCTGCAAGCAGACGGAAGAATCATATAAAAGGTCAGCATTTGTGGTATTCGCTTAGAAATTGTAAAATCGCAGAGACATCTTATCATCACGGTGAGTTTAAAAATACTTAACACTGCTTACATCATAAAAGAAGAAGCAAATATAATGCACTTTTGTGCAGTTACTTAATGAGGATCCAACCATGTTGTAAAATGTTGTCCATAAAAATATTCCATCATTTTACACTATTTAAACTATTTCTTAACAATTTACCAGATTTTTCACTGCTAGAACCTACAAACTCTCCAATTTATTTCAACAAACTTCTGCATGAAGCCACACACATTCATGTAAAGCCATTTCCCCCTCTTTAATTATTTCATGTCGTTCTGGGCTTTGGCACCGCGTGGACTCGGCAGATATCTCTCCAAAACGTTTCCATCACGCCAAAACCCAGAAGAACATCATCATCACCCTCATCTAGTCTTTTGACTGAGGCACATACTGTGAACATCTTCAGGGCTGAGCTGAAAGTATCTTCCTCCATCTTCACTCCTCATCCCATGACTCTGATTGACCAACCCCATTGGCCTGATCATCTTCCTAACCCTGTTTAAACTATTCACTTCCTAACACTCCTCACTTAGGACCCGAAGATGGAGGAAGTCACATTCCTCTGAAATATCAGCCCCAAAGACTGCCATTTACACTCGTATCACTGTGATGACATGTGATATACAATCAGTACTGTCAGAATTAATTCAGACCCAAAACAATGGAATCTACAACGCGGAAGAACAACACCAACATTATCACCGCCAGAATAACTTCAGTATCTCACAGAAATAAAATACATATTATTTGTTGGAAGACTAATTAATAATATTCTTGTATTAGAAACCAAGGTTGAGCACACAATATAAGTTTATTCACTGCAAGTTCATCACTTATTATCATTCTAAACTGCACAATGCATCCAAAATGTTTGTAAATTTGAGTACTGTCAAATAATTCTACTTTATACAACACAACTGGTAATCATACTGTAAAAACCATTTTTCATACATACCATGTAACCATAAACAAATCCTCCTTTGAGAACTGTCGCCTGCAGTATGAACCGCACAACTGCCAAGATAGGCAGGAGAAACGTAATGAAAATCTGGGCATAATAGAGCTTTGAACGTGGTAATGACAATTGTGCCACCCGCGTACCATATTTTTTGTACATCCAGAACTGTGCTGACCCAAAAAGAAGCAGTATGCCAGCAGTAATACTGACTGTGAGTGTCTCCATGAAACATTGTGATGTCCCATTGTTTATCCACACTTCACCAAGTGTCACGTTTGGCGGACAGTACAGCATTCTGATCTGAAATACATTAAAGATAATCATAACCTCAAAATTATAAAAGATAGGCAAACATCAAATGCAGGCACACATGAACATTAATAATAATATCATATTTTATATAGTCAACTATTGTACAATTATAAACAAGAAACTGAGCAGTAATATCAATAAACATTTGGGAGATTGAGAGAATGACTTCAGGTATGAAGATTCCTACCTGACCGCTTCTGCTGTCTAGGAAATAATACATGCAAGATCTTTTAATTTTAAGTGGGCATATTAGTTACAACTTTCGCACCTTCCTATCTCAACTTTGTCAATACGTCCATTTATCAAACTGTTATCATGCTATTACAGATCACTACACTCCTACGAATAAAGTATCATTAACAAGGACAAAATTCTGCTACAGTACAGAACATCGTCACAGATATAATTCCACATATAATAT